ATATATATATATATATATATATACACACACACACACACACACACACATATGCTTACTATATATATATACACACATACGCACACTATAGCTGTTTTTATTTCCTGATAAATACATCCAGCGATTCCCTAAAGGACTCCCGAAGTTACCCTTTAAGCAATATGGTACCAGATTATGACAAATAACCAATAATCCTACTCTGAAAACTTTGCCTTATTTAGGTACAACCTACAGTTCCGATATGTTGCAAAGTTATTCTCACAGCCTAATGGAACCTGAACCTCATTTGAAATCTAAGATTGTTAGTGTTGGAAGGAATCTGAGAGACGGTCATTTCAAGCTGCAGATACGCATATTGACAGTTGAAAGGACAGAGCCCAGACCAAAACCAGGTCAAGCAGCCCCCATTCCTGGCCGAGGGTTCTTGCTCTTGTACAACCACGCCAGATTATATCCAAATAAGTGATCATGTCCATCGATTACTTCAACTTCGCTAAATTTCAATCTGGCCACTAGTGATGTCACTTCCTTTCGTGATCAGGTGTGTTTCTTCTCTCGTCTCGCTACCTTCCCTTGACTACAGCGCTTCAGGGTTCCTGCTCCGGTCAATGCCAATGTTTCCCGTGCCTCCTCCTATTCCCCACGGATGCAAATACAGTCACCACAATGCCTTGGCCCTCCCCATTAACTGCCAAACTCATAACACTCTAGGCAAAAGGGGTTTATTCGGTAACGCCAAGCAGACACGGCGGTGCAGCAGCCTTCCGCACCCCAAGGGTCCGACAGAACACGCTCCTGCCGAGCACCGCACGCGGATGCTTCCTAGAGAGCAGCCGGGCGCCGGCGCCGCCGCAGGGGAAGCGGCGACTGCGGGCTGCGATCCGCCCGGGAACCAACATGGAGGTGAGAGGGCGGCGGGCGGCCTCGACCCGCCGCGCCGGCTGCAGGCCCCGCCGCGCGGCGCCGCCGCCTTCCAGGCCGACGGGCCCCGACGGGGCAGGCGGACGCCCGAGTCGCGCTCCGGGGAAACTCAACAAGTCCGAAGGCGGAGGATGCGCCGCGGGCGGGAGGGGCGCCTGCCCAGAGGCCGCCCCCGCCGGGACTCGCCGCCGGCCATTTGCATCGCGCTCCCCTACGTGCCCCGACGCCCGCCGGCGCGAGCCCCACGCCTGGGCCCGGGCTGCCGGCTTCCCGGGGCTCGGCGGCGGCGGGCCTGCGGGCCGGGCCGCCCTCGGGGTGGGCCGAGGGCTGCGCCCCAGCGGGAAGCGGGCGCCGCCCGGCCCCGGCCCCGGCCCCCGGCCCCCGACCCCGCGCGGCGCTCGCCCGCCCGCCGGCCGCCGCCGGGCTCCGGGCTGAGGCGGCGGGCTTGGGGGCGGCGCGCCATCACGGAGGGAAAATGGTGGGCGGGCGGGCCCGCGGCGGCCGCCGTACTCACCCGGGCCGGCCAGTGCGGGTAGCCCTTCATCTTGGCGAAGACCAGGTCGCCCGCCTTGTACTCGCGCGGCCGCGGACGCGCCATCCCGGCCGCCGCCCTGGCCGCTCGTCCTCGGTCGCCGCGGAGACGCCGGGGGCCGCCCCCCGCGGGCCGACGGACTGCGCCGCGCTCCCCGCGGGCCTCGGGCGGGCGGCCGCTCCGACGAGGGGAGGCGGCGAGGCGGCTGAGGCGCGGGGCGGGCGGGGGCGCGGCGGGCCCGGCGAATCTCCGCCCGGCGGCGGGGGAGGGGCGCTCGCCCGCGCCCAGGTCCTCACAGGCGCGCCGCCCGCCTCATGCCGCCGCCGCCGCCGGCCTCCCCCCGGCCTCCTCCGGATCCCCCCTCGGGCAGCGACCGCGGACACGGCCCTCGTATTGTGCTCGCGCGCGCGCAGCGCCCGCCCGCGGCCCGCTCCCTCCGCCCGCGCCGGCCGGTTAATTCCTAGGTGCACGGCCGGCCCGGCTGCTCGGCGCGCGGCTCGGCGGGCGGGCGCGTCCTCCCCAGCAGCGAGGCCCGCGCCGGGCGGGCGGGAGCGCCGACTCCGGAGAGCGCCCGCCGCCCGCTCTCTTTTGTTCTCGGCCCGGAGCGGCCGCCGCAGCCCAGCCAATCCCCGCCGCGCCCCGCGCCCGGCCCCGCACCGCCGGCGGCCTCGGCTGCTCGCGGCGGGTGGGGCCCGCGCCCCCGGCAGCAGGCCCCGGAAAGCCGCGGCCCGGAGCCGGCGACCTTGTGGTCGGGGTCGCGCCCCGGCCTGCCCTTGGCGGGGCGGTGTGGCCCTCCCGGGGCGGGCAGGTTACTCGAGTCCCCGGGGGCGTGTGCACCCGCCGGGCGGCCCCGCCGGGATTCGAACACCGAGCTGCAGGGCCCCGGAGTCCGTGAGCAGCAGCGCCTCCCTATCCTGGGTCTTACAGGCCCGTGGTTTTGAGAAGGACTCGTTTCCTATCCTGGCGACATTTTGGACCACGTTTCCCGAACCGGCCCTGTGAATGGACGCCAGGGACAGTTTGTTACCGTCCCGTCGCCTGGGCTCGCCTGCCTTCTCTGGAAGTACAGTTTCCACCAGCATCTGCCTCCCTCACTTGCCCCGTGTGCGCGCGCGCGCGGCTTTAAAGTCTCTAGATTGTGCACTGTTCTTGTTAACGGTGCGGGACATTACCTGCCAAGGTTTGCCTTGGATATTGGCCCTTCTCACCTGTCCCAGGGGTTCACCTTTGCCGTCTCTTTTCTGGGGAAGACTAGTCGTCTAGGCCCTTTTGCCTCAGTTCGCATAGGTCATTGGTCTTAGTCCCTTTGGGTTGTCATTACAAAATACCATAGACTGGGTGACTTATTGTGGGTAAAATGGTAGTATTTCCCAAATATCTGGCCTGGCTTTAGTACATCCGCATATCAAAGGCGCTCAGAGATGGACAGGAGTATGGGATGGTGCGTTTGCATCATTGCCCAGGGGTGGAGACAGTCCCCCCCCATGGCAGTGGGTACTTATCTGGGCGATGGGGGCTGGTCTGTGCCCGAGAGGTGAGGGGAGGGCCGGTTTTGCTTCTGCTGGAGCAGGAGAGCGAGAAGGCCCCTGACTGCAGTTTGTAAGCAATAAATGGGTTTTAAACTTTATTTCTCCCTTTGACTGGTTTGGGTTTTTAGAGGTGTTTTGCCCTGGGATTTCCTCTCCCTGGACTTACACTTACAAACAACAGAAATTCATGGAGGCTGGAAGATGGAGGCAGGGGCAGCTGTGCTGTGAGGTGAGGCCTGCCTCCTGGTTCAGAGTGCGGCAGTCTCTCCCTGTGTTCTTACGTGGGGAGGACACGGACATTGGGTCCACAGCCGTGCGCTAACGTGTCCCCCTTGCAGGACCGGACGCGCACCTGCCACCGTGTCCTCACACCGCGGTGCCTGCTCATGAACCTGTAATGGTTCCTGTATCCCCTTAGGGCAAACCCAGATGCTTCTGGCCACCAAAGCCCTGGCTGTTGGCCGCTTGCCCCCTAAGGTCCGGCCTCCCCAAGGCGACAGGGTGGGAGTAGGAGAGACGGAGGAAACGAGAGGGGGAAGGTCAGGTGGGAGCCGCGGGAGGACTTGAGCAGAGCAGGGACGGGATCAGGGTTCGGGTCCAGACACGATCCTCCGGTGGCCGGCGTGGAGGCAGGAGCTCAGTCGGGGGCCGCCCACCAGGCGACGAAGGGCAGGGCTGGGGCAGGACTTGCGGGCCCACTGGGTGGCAAGTGCGTAGAAAGAAGGAGGGGCCGAAACCAGCCCCTGGTGTCCGGCTTAGGCAATGGGACCATCGGTTCTGAGACTCACGAAGGGGAGCAAATCCACGAAGACTGGGCAATTCGGGGAGGAGATCACGAATGGTCTTGGGGTTCGCGTTTCCACCGGGCGCCCAGAGGGAGCTGTTCAGTGACAGCTGAGCACGCAGCTTACAGAACAGAGAGAGCGAGGGACCTCGGCAGACAAGCGGCGGTTGAAGCCCGCAGTGGGGTTCTCGGGAGACTGGGGGGCAGGAAAGCAGGAGCTGGGGATGGCCCGGGGGCAGGCAGAGGAAGAAGAGCCCGTGCTGCAGGGACGAATCCCAGCCAGATCCGAGGACTTGCAGGAGGGACCTGTCCAGTGGAGGCCACAGGGACACCGGGCGAGGTGAAGAGGAAGATGGATGCGCCCAATCTGCTGACCCGCAGGCCGCTGGGCCTTGCTGGGAACTGTTCCACCGCAGCGGTGGGAAGAGACCGGGGCGCAGAGCCTTGCCGTGGGAGCTCCGGGCAAAACCACGCAGGCGGGAGTGAAAGCCCATTCCCCACACCGGAGGAGCCCGAGACCGTGACGGGAGGGCTGTTCTGCTGGGACTGTTCGGGTGGCTTGTAAAGACTGGAGATGTTCGGGTCTGCGATGAGCGGAAAGCCGACCGAGTGGTTGAAGACAGAGGCCAAAGGGGATAATGGACGGGATCTGGATTTTTTGAGAATGTGGATATTTCTCCCAGTCTAGGCTTTGCTTTGGGGGTTTCATTTGAGCCCAGGCTGACTGCTCAGCACACACCTTTTGCCTGCATTACGTGCCCTACCGAGTCAGACTTAGTAACACAGTCACGGGGTCCCCTGCAGGCCCCCTCTGACTGGTCAGCAGGGACCTCCTGGGGTGCCCGGCTACGAGCGCATCTGCGTGTGCAGCCAGGTGTGGCGCAGACCGCCTGGTCAACGCGGCTGTTCTGGGAACGACGTGTTGCCCTGTGGCTCTCGCTGCAGACCGAACCTTCAGACTGGTTCCTCCACTTTCATGCAAGGGGCTGTTTCTGTGGCTATTCCAGAACAATGCTCTATTCAAATCTTTAACAGGTAATAAGTAACCCTTTAGAGATACCACAAAGACCATTAAGAGAGTCTGACTTACTTTTATTTTAGTCAGTGCGCCCCAGGAGTCTCTTTGCTATGTCAAAATAGAACACATTAATTTTACTTCTGAAACTTGGAAAGACTCCACTCACAAAGGGGAGACCATCAGCCTCCTTTGATCGCTTTTCATTTCGTCCTAAAGTCCCAATGGGCTGTTCTCCCTGCCCTGGGCACTCAGCCTACTTCTGGCCACTCCTCTTCTCATTCACATATATCCACACAATTCTTTGCGTCTGGCCTGTTTCACCTTCCCCTTTCCTAACCCAACTCAGCCTCCTAATAAAACTAACAGTCCTTTCAAATCTTGTCCCCCAGATCCACCCATTCTATGATGCTCCGAATGCCTACAATCTATTCCTCCTCCTAAAATCATCTATGAGATGATACACGTTAAGCTCTCGGAACAGAGTCTGGCACAAAGTAAGTACTCATTAAGTGTTGATACTGTTATCTTTGTTGTTAACATGGTGTGGTGAAATGAACTGTGGCAAGGGAGTCAGGAAAATTTGGTGTTGATCTCTCTCACACACATACACACACACACACGCACACACAATCAGTATGTCAGAAGGGAACTCACTGATTTAAAATAATCCATGAATCAAGAGGAAATCCCAATGAAAATCAAAATATATTTTGAACTGGATAATACAGGAAACACATATCTAAACTTGGGAGAGGATGCTAAAGCTGTTTAGAAAGTCTTAAATGCATATATTAGGGGAAAACAAGAATGAAAAACAATCGTCCATGCATCCCTCTCAGGAACTTAGAAAAAGAACAGAAAGGTAAACCCAAAAAAGGAGAAAAAGGGGAAAAACAAAGAGCAGAAATTAATAAGCTATAGAAATATATCATAGAGAGGGTCAGCAAAGCCAAAGGCTGTTTTTCTAGAAAGACTAATAAAATGGATAAGCCTCTGTTAAGACTGATCAAAAGAAATAGATGAAGCACAAATAGCAAATAGGAGGAATGAAAAAGGGGACGTCATTTCAAATTTTACAGATATTTAAAATAAATAAAAAGTACACTGTGGATAACTTTATACAAATACATTTGAAAATTTAATGTCCTAGAAAAACACATCAAAACTGAAAGAAGATGAAAATGAAATGTAAGTAGTCCTAAATCTACAAAAGAAAAAAATTTCATCTGTAAGTATGAAATTTTCATTTTTCCCCTCAAAGAAAATGCCAGTCCCCCGTGGCTTGACTGGTGTATCATACCAGACATTTTAGGGTGTCTGGTATGATACTCTTTGAGAGGATAGAAAAAGAGAGAAGACATCCCAACCTGTTTTAGGAGGCTAGCACAATTTTAACACCAAAACCTGGCAATCACAACACAAGAAAGGAAAACCACACACCTATATCTTTTAAAACATAGGCTAAAAAAATAGCAACCAAAATATCAGCAAACCAAATCCTGGTATTCATCTCTAACCCAGGTTTCAGGTTGATTAACATTTGAGAATCAATCAATGCCATTCACAGCATTAATAGATTTAAGGAGAAAAATCACATGATCCTTTCAAGAAATGCAGGAAAACTGATAAAATTCAGCATACATTTAAAAAAATAGCAAACTAGGAATAGATAGGAATTTTCTTAATAGAATAAAGGGTATCTACAAAAAACTTAAAACAACTCTCATATTTAATGGCAAAATATTGAAGACTTTCCCTAGGATTGTGAACAAGGAAA